ATCGATATTGACATCGACATCGATATTGACATCGACATCGAAATCGATATTGACATCGATATTGACATCGACATCGATATTGACATCGACATCGACATCGATATTGACATCGACATCGATATCGACATCAATATTGACATTATTTTTATTTGAAGAACCCTTGTTCGTCAAATCCTTGTCCAAGTGGCACCATGTGTAGGCCTGACTTTTCGTGGGACACATTTACCTGTGATGGTATGTATACGCTAAAACATTATTCGTAGATGATTGAATTCTGTCGAACATATCCATTGATTACAGCATTGCATTGAATAAAATTACTTAGAAATCGTTTTCATTGCAAATTTGAATAAAATTGAATGAAAATAAAGTATTTTAAAAAACACGTAAAAACACGTTGTTACTTTAAAAATTGGTATTCGGCTGCGAATATTATATTATATAAATATAACTGATAAAGTACCGTACTTTGATTAAATTAGTATTATTTTTAGTAGGTATTTTGCGGTGCCGTGACAACTAACATGATGCAATAAGCATTTAGTAGTGATAGCCTGCGTTCCGACTTGCTATGACGTTAAATTTAATTTTAAAAAGTCTCATGTGTTACTCACGTGGCAGGCATGTGGACTAGAACAATAGATTCAGCCATGCTATAGCCTCGCATTCAAGTGCTTGAGAATACGCTTATGCGGGGGAAGGGGGGAGGTTTTATTAAAAATATATATATTGGCCACTTTAGAAACGCGCAAAAGACTGCCCGTCCTGCCCGCTATCGACTGTGAAGACTAAAGAAGGTTTGCAAGCTTAGACTAGAAACTCGTCCTGCTCATTCAGCCGCTAGCTTCGCAATCGTTGATCATTTAAAACATATTCGCCAGCAAACAAAGTTTAGATTATTAAGTTTGACCGCATCTGCGATCATTTTCTGCTCTTCTGGAAAAGCAATCCATTGCTGTAAACATTTTTGTCTTCGCATCGAATGTAAACGTACATCCTCCGAACTTCGCTTCTATTTAATCGGCCGCATACGCAATGAACTTGATGACAGCTCGTTGACAAGCAGCTCATTTTAAGCCCATGGGAATTTTGCGTTGTGTGGGCAACGCGTAATTCATTTCTCTGTGTGTTGTCCACAGTCCCTACTTTTCCTCTCCCTGAGTTTGGAAAAGAGGGGCTGGTGACAGTCTATGAAATTTGTATATGATTGAATAAAAGTAACCAGTTGTTACAAGCCTTCAAAAGTCTGAAAAATTAACAAAGAATGTATGGTTACAGGGGACGTGTCCGGCCAGTAACCATACATTCTTTGTGAATTTTCAACGCTTTTGAAAGCCAATAATTCTGGTTCTTTTCATCCAATCATTTTCAAATTTCACAGACTTACTATATTGAGGTGCTTTATCAGCTCTTTTGCTAATAATATTAAATTTCAAAACTCGCCCCAGTCTCTTGCTCGTCCCTAAAGTGGCCCATTAGGTTTTATTAAGTTATTTTTTCTCGAAAAGCTTTTGTTTTTAACTCGCTTATCAAAATTAATAATGCTTGCGCCGTAAGTAAGGCCGTCCTGACCCTTGTTCTCTCCTACTGGTGATTTTAGTTGATGGAGGCTGGGCCCCATGGACAACATGGACAACCTGTCAATCTCATCCCGCGTCTTGTCCCAGGACGCGTAACAGAACCTGCTCCAATCCACCGCCACTGAATARAGGTGCCTACTGTATCGGTCTAGGTCTGGAGAGTGAAACATGCGTTGGCAATGTTAACGCAAGTCAAAGAGGTAAACAGAAACTCATTTATATTATTCCTGCATGTTGGTAGCATATAGAGAAATAAAAGTCTTGGCATAGCATAGAAGTAGAATAATTACGATGTCGACTTGGTCCTTATTCTATATACCAAGTACTTCAACCAGTTAGATTTCGTTAATGACGGTTGACTTTCTCGAGTTCAGTTACTTCAAAGTATAATGAGGAGATAAAAAGACATTCAAGAGAGATATAATATCTTTTGACTCGTAGGCTATTTGGGCTGCGGGCCTAATCGTTAAATAGTAGTTTACTAATGATTGATTTTTTTTAATAAGAATGTGAAATACCACTTGGGATGGAAGACGGAAACATCACTGACTCCCAGATTACGGCCTCATCGACATACCCATCAAGTATCACGCTCGACCCTTGGCAAGCACGCTTAAAAAACCCAGGGATAGCCGGCGTTACGTATGGTTCATGGGCTGCAAGAATAAGATCTGTAGGACAGCATTTACAGGTTGATCTTAGGTGCCCAAAGATGATTACTAGGATTGCCACACAGGGAAGATCGCTCGGTGCTGATCAATATGTTACGAAATATTCCGTGTCCTAMAGCAACGATGCAACCAGCTGGATACAATACCTCCAAGATGGCGCTATTAAGGTTATTTTTTGAAATACTCTTCATAATTGATTCTACTAATAATTTGTTTGCTTACTGATTAAAAAATAACAGATTAGAATAATAGGAAACGAAAGAAAATGAGTGAAGACGAAGCGAAGCCGGTATAGAMACGAGAGAAGTAGAAGAAAAGAGTAAGCATGCTGCAAACAGCCCCAGTAAAAATGTTATACTAAACTGTCGTTTTATTTGTCTTCAGGTATTCCCTGCAAACAACGATAAACAAACAATAGTCAAAAACAGTCTCCCTCAACCACTTATTGCTCGATACATCCGTATCATCGTAGAAGAATTTCACTCATGGCCTACGATGAGAATGGAACTATATGGGTGTTCATTTTGAATTCGGTAATCTCTGTCCCTGTCCCTATCCCCGTTCCCGTCGCAAACCCAATGTATCTATTATAAGTAATACCRTAACCAGGATCTTTAACAGATTGCAATAGAGAGCCATTGCAGCTAGTATAAGATTTTTACTGGGTCCATGCGACTCATTTATGGTCCTTGTGATTTGTTATGTGTGGGACCGAGCTTCACGAATGGTGAGGAGGGATATGTAGACTATTCTTCCCTCATGATTATATTCTTGAGGGACGAGTAGTCTAATCGTCCCTCATCTTTAATGCTTATTAATGATATTTATATAGCGCTCTTTTCCATATGGATATGTTCAAAGGCGCTTTACGATGATTTGTGAATGAGGGATAGTATGAGGTGTAGGCACTGAGGGTGGTCACAGCCAGGGTGTCTTTACGTCCTCAGTGGTTCTTTTACGTCCCTCCGATATTCGTTAGTAATGATGAAGTGTGGAGAGACGGGACCGCCATTTAAAGTGGTCATCCAAGCCACTCGAAAGTCTAACCATTTGCAGATTTAGATTTTTAATTTCATGAGCGGGATATTTAGACAAAGCGTCCCCCTGGAAATAACGGATCCCGAGGTAATCATGGTATGATTATTTGTCTAACGTCATACCTAATGTGGTTTACACAACACGGAAAATCCTAAGAGAAGGTTATCTTATAATGTTGACGCACTCAGGCATCTTATGCTTTACTTGTATGAAATAGCTACCTCCAATATGAAGCACTGCTCGAAAGGGCTAAGCTTGGTATGTCTCCTTCAATGTCTTCAATCCTCAAATTTTATCAATAACCTAAAAAACAGCGTCTGCTCAAAATAGGGCACGGTGGTTAGCTCGCACATCGAACTGAAATTTAGCGTTTTGATTTTTTTCGGATGGAGGAAAACCGGAGAAGGCGGAGAAAAATGTCTAGTGCATGCAAAATCCTATATCACCTCATGAATGTGCAGAAATACTTATCACGTTTAAACTCCACGATATACAGTTCCAGCCCCGTGCATGTGTTTTCAGACGTTTAGAGAAATTATAGATGAATGACAGTGGCTGTAAAGCGGCTTTTATCATCTTTATTTTATTGATGCATTTGTTAGCATCCTCTCTGGCGGGTGTTACTGTACCTCTGAGTATACCATACAACTGAATTTAATTTATTATGTTATTATATTCATTCAAGAGCTTCGATTGCGTGCTTGTCAAAAAGTCGCTGGTTGTTCCTTAGTACAAATTCTCGGAATGTACATTGATTTTATGTATGCATACAAATGTATTCTTTATTTTCCAACTTTATAATACACTGCAAAATTACTTGATTCTGATTGGTCAAGATAAGTGCAAATTAACGTTAACAACAGATTTCACAGTTACAAACAATTGTTTCAAGTCGAGGCATTTGGGTGAACACAATGAAATATATGGAAACTAACCCTAATACAACTGTTTTGACACTATTGGCAGAGCACGCGTATTTCCGAGTATAAGTACACCTATTGGCCTTGTTTTTATCTTACTTGCAAGCCTAAAAAATAAATAAATTTTGATTAAATATCATAGCATGTTGCAAGAGTATAGCGCGATTAAACTTCAGATTTGTTGCATGCAACGTTGCGTGCAACAAGTTTGGGGTAGACACACGCTGCAATAGTCCTGTTGCGTGCAATGTTACATGCAATGTTGCACCGTGTGTCAGTACGTTTAGTTTACTAGTTGCGAATAAACAATCCAAATAACACTGTTAATTTTAGTGACTCTTTTTGCTTCCCTTGTTGTAACTGTGACATGGACGGTGGTTTTAGTAGGCGGAACTTACGTTTCTTCCGATAACGCGGGAGATTTAAATGCTACTGATTAGTATGCAATTTGTTAGATACTTCTAAAAAAGTCGGGTTTCCTACCAAAAATATTTATCGAAAACTCTATGAAATTTTGCAGAAGTAAACTTAAGATGTCTGGGAACATTTCCCCCATGATAACTTTATTAAATTATTAAACGGTCGTGTAAAAATATGAGGTAAATTTCAAATGATGAGCAAGCTTTCTCCATACTTGTAATATCGTGATTATAGGTTAACTTCAAATACAGTTTCCTACCAAGAATATTACGCTGATATTGATTAGCTGTTATGATCTTGAAAGTTTAACCCTAGTTTTAGGAAAACCAATGGCAACGTTTTACTGYAGATATATCTTGATACGAAAAATAAGCATTTTCGATGACTACTACAGCTATCTTGCTATCTTGGCCTATTTTCCCCGTAAATGAGTGAGAGCAGTCAAGTAGAATATTTGAATTTGGCGCTCTTGAGCTTATGAATATTACGGATGTGACGCCTCATTCTGGGCGATGCGTAGAAATCTCCTTCGTAATCGTAGTCACTGTCAGATTTCAAGAACTGGATTTGTTTGTGAGGATAGACAATTATTTTGCACTTATGACACTGTTGTCCAGTATTGTCATAACTGTTTGCACTTTTCCATTTACTACGGCAATGGGGACAGCAAAACTCACCTAACACTTGATCTGTTCCTTGGTAAGGCGTCTAAAATTATATGCAAATGAGATCAAGACAGGCAATTAGGATGGGTATAACTATTAGAAAGAAAAAG